TCATCTACAGGAGAGCATCTTGGGGAACTGAGAGTGTTTGTCCCAATGGGATTGACTCATAGCCTACAGACAAAAGTCATTTTCATTGGGGACACAGAAGAGGTTGGACTCACATCATTGTCTGAAAGACAGTGACTTTTTTGGGGAAAACCTCCTCGATCTGTCGGCACCCCAACAAACAAAGAACCAGGACTGGTTGTGACACCAGACACAGTGACTCTAGAGGTTGTGAGTAACTTCAGACGTTTTGACCCCTGTCCACTGATTCCCTGGGTCCCTCTGGCTGTCTGGAGGCTGATTTCACCCGGTCCAGTGGTGTCACGGTGAGTGCGTCCTTCCTATGTGTAGTGGCGTAATAATGACCTTTGTGTTTGTGGTGTAACAATGTGTTGTCTCGTTACAATTGGTTTGCATTTGAGTGGGTATGACTTGTATGGTCCTGTGTGTTTTGTTGTGTGCCTTTCCCTTTAATGCTAGGCCCTAAACCCTCTCCCAGACAGCATGTGTTCACAGTGGCCTACCTCTTAGAGCTCGACTGTCAATGATTTACTAACATCCTCCTAAGATTACAGATGCCCCCTCCCTCACCCAAACCCAGTACCCCACCCCCCTCAGAGACAGACCCGGTGGAATGGCCCTTCTGGCCAGACCCTCACACAGGCAGAAGTGACCTTTGACCCAGGAAGTACTCTACTCATTGTGGGAATATGGGTGGCATTAGACATTAGGGTTGCTCACCATTCTCTCCATAGATAGTTCTGCTGGTGATGGTCTGAAACGGCTGCATGGACTGAAAGGACACAACTCCAATTTGCCAATTCCCCATCTCCCACTCAGGCCCACAAAATGACACACGCACACACACATCCCCAGGCCGATGAACAAGCGTAACACATTACAGTCCAACAATATACTGTATAATATAATAGTGGTATTCAAAATCGGGATTAGGAACAAAAAAATCAGATGATTGTATGGGACAATATACAACCGTTTAAAAATATATATTTTATTGAGTAAATGTATTTATTGGTTTCTTTTCATTTTGATAAGAGATTATAATGCAATAAATTGAAGGTTATTTGTTGACGTAAAAATCTAAATGTACTTTTAAGGTTTTGTCATTAGATTTGGGGTGGGGTCCCCAGAAATTCTAGCAGAAAAAATGGGGTCCCCGCTTAAGATTTGAATACCACTGATATAATATATGCCATATAGCAGAAGCTTTTATCCAAAGCGACTTACACTCATTCGTGCATGCATTTTATGTATGGCCTGTTGTTATTTATATGTAATTGCTTTTAGATGTTGAATTCTAGGGATATAGTTTGTGTTTAAAGGACCATGAATGGAGAGAATACAGTATGTGGTCGTGGAATGTTTCTGTGCTGGAAAACATTGGCTATGGAAATGTTTCATAACAGATTAACCTCCAAGGAATGTTACTAAAGTGTTTTTCTTGTTGTCATTGTGGAGTGCCTCGTTGCTGGGGTGGCCTTCAGATATGGGACACACACACACACACACACACACACACACCTGTCAAACACACACACACACACAGGCCTTACTGGGGGAGCTGGTCCAACACACACCCCACTCCCACTGAGAGCTCACTTTTCAGTTGAAGTAACGCAGTACGTTTTGAAAAGTTCATGCAACTCAATGAAGTTCAACAATGGAAGTAGTGTTACATTGATACAGTATGTAAAACAAGAAGCTGCTGAGTGGCTAACAGTATGCAATATGCATGCCCACCCAGCCTTGGGAGCACACATGCAATGTGATGAGCCAAGAGTCCAGTACCGGTCAGACATACGATGCGCAGCCCACTTCACAGTAAAGAACGCAAAACATTTATGCTAATAGGACATTCCAAATTGAATTTGATTCAATCTGCTTCATATGTAAAACATCTTCAAATCACATAGTGCAAATAGTCCGGGTGACCATGATTAGCTGTTCAGGAGTCTTATGGCTTGGGGGTAGAAGCTGTTAAAAAGCCGTTTGGACCTAGATTTGGCGCTCCGGTACCGCTTGCCGTTCGGTAGCAGAGAGAACAGTCTATGACTAGGGTGGCTGGAGTCTTTGACAATTTTTAGGGCCTTCGTCTGACACCACCTGGTATAGACGTCCTGGATGGCAGGAAGCTTGGCCCCAGTGATGTACTGGGCCGTAAGCACTACCCTCTGTAGTGCCTTGCAGTCGGAGGCCGAGCAGTTGCCATACCAGGCGGTGATGCAACCAGTCAGGGTGCTCTCGATGGTGCAGCTGTATAATTTTTTGAGGATCTGAGGACCCATGCCAAATCTTTTCAGTCTCCTGAGGGGGAATAGGCTTTGTCGTGCCCTCTTCACAACTGTCTTGGTGTGTTTGGACCATGATAGTTTGTTGGTGATATGGACACCAAGGAACTTGAAGCTCTCAACCTGTTCCACTACAGCCCTGTCGATGAGAATGGGGGCGTGCTCAATCCTCTTTTTTTTCCTGTAGTCCACAATCATCTCCTTTGTCTTGATCACGTTGAGGGAGAGGTTGTTATCCTGGCACCACACAGCCAGGTCTCTGACCACCTCCCTATAGGCTGTCTCATCGTTATCGGTGATCAGGCCTAACAACGTTGTGTCGTCAGCAAACTTAATGATGGTGTTGGAGTCGTGCCTGGCCATGCAGTCATGGGTGAATAGGGAGTACAGGAGGGGACTGAGCACGCACCCCTGAGGGGCCTCCGTGTTGAGGATCAGCGTGGCAGATGTGTTGTTACCTACCATTACCACCTGGGGGCGGCCCATCAGGAAGTCCAGGATCCAGTTGCAGAGGGAGGTGTTTAGTCCCAGGGTCCTTAGCTTAGTGATGAGCTTTGAGGGCACTATGGTGTTGAACGCTGAGCTGTAGTCAATGAATAGCATTCTCATGGCTACAGAAGTGAGTGCTACGGGTCGGTAGTCATTTAGGCAGGTTATCTTAGTGTCCTTGGGCACAGGGAATATGGTGGTCTGCTTGAAACATGTTGGTATTACAGACTCAGTCAGGGACATGTTGAAAATGTCAGTGAAGACACTTGCCAGTTGGTCAGCGCATTTTCTGAGTACACGTCCTGGTAATCCGTCTGGCCCTGCGGCCTTGTGAATGTTGACCTGCTTAAAAGTCTTACTCACATCGGCTACGGAGAGCGTGATCACATAGTCATCTGGAACAGCTGATGCTCTCATGCATGCTTCAGTGTTGCTTGCCTCGAAGCGAGCATAGAAGTGATTTAGCTCGTCTGGTAGGCTTGTGTCACTGGGCAGCTCACGGCTGTGCTTCCCTTTGTAGTCAGTAATAGTTTTCAAGCCCTGCCACATCCGACGAGCGTCAGAGCTGGTGTAGTACGATTCAATCTTAGTCCTGTATTGACTCTTTGCCTGTTTCATGGTTCGTCGGAGGGCATAGTGGGATTTTTTATAAGCGTCCAGGTTAGAGTCCAACTCCTTGAAAGCGGCAGCTCTACCCTTTAGCTCAGTGCGGATTTTGCCTGTAATCCATGGCTTCTGGTTGGGATATGTCCATACGGTCACTGTGGGGACAACATCATTGATACACTTATTGATGAAGCCAGTGACTGATGTGTTGTACTCCTCAATGCTATCGGAAGAATCCCGGAACATATTCCAGTCTGTGCTAACAAAACAGTCCTGTAGCTTAGCATCTGCGTCATCTGACCACTTTTTTTATTAATCGAGTCACTGGTGCTTCCTGCTTTAGTTTTAGCTTATAAGTAGGAATCAGGAGGATAGAGTTATGGTCAGATTTGCCAAATGGAGGGCGAGCTTTGTACGGGTCTCTGTGTGTGGAGTAAAGGTGGTCTAGAGTTTTCTTTCCTCTGGTTGCACATTTAACATGCTGGTAGAAATTTGGTAGAACGGATTTAAGTTTCCCTTCATTAAAGTCCCAGGCCACTAGGAGTGCTGCCTCCGGATGAGCGTTTTCCTGTTTACTTATGGCCTTATACAGCTCATTGAGTGCAATCTTAGTGCCAGCATCGGTTTGTGGTGGTAAATAGACAGCTACGAAAAATATAGATGAAAACTCTCTTGGTAAATAGTGTGGTCTACAGCTTATCATGAGATACTCTACCTCCGGCGAGCAAAACCTTGAGACTTCCTTAGTATTAGATTTTATGCACCAGCTGTTGTTTACAAATATACATTGACCGCCACCACTTGTCTTACCGGAGTCAGCCGTTCTATCCTGCCGATGTAGCGTATATCTCGCCAGCTGTATGTTATCCATGTCTTCGTTCAGCAACGACTCGGGTGAAACATAAGATTTTTAACAGTTTTTAATGTCCCGTTGGTAGGATAACCTTAATCTTAGGTCTTCCAATTTGTTTTCAAATGATTGAACATTGGCTAATAGAATTGATGGAAGAGGCAGTTTACTCGCTCGCCGTCGGATCCTTACAAGGCACCCCGACCTACGTCCACAATATCTCTGTCACTTGCTCATGCGAATGACGGGGATTTGGGCCTTGTCGGGTGTCTGTAGGATATCCTTCACGTCCGACTAGTTGAAGAAAAAAATCTTCCTCCAATACGAGGTGAGTAATCGCTGTCCTGATATCCAGAAGCACTTTTTGGTCATAAGAGACGGTGGCAGAAACATTATGTACAGAATACATTTCAAATAACGCAAAAAAACACACATAATAGTACAATTGGTTAGAGGGCTGTAAAACGGCAGCCATCTTCTCCGGCGCCATTCTGTGCGCTTTGTAGATGAACAAACACACACACAGACATACCACAATGTTTTAAAATGCCACATACTAATTTCTTGAATGTAAAACATCCTTATACATTGTAAATGAAACACACATGCCACAGAAATGTGCTTCAGAATCCATTATTGAGAATTACATACGTACTGAACCCCTCTTGTCTTTTGTCTGTGACGACAGAAGGGCCTGTAGCATTTGGTCAAGTAAACTCAAGGCTCTCTGTCTGTCTTCCTCCTCTCAGGATGTCTGTGTGGTTAAGTATCGCAGAGCTCAGACCCCTACTGCAAGATGACATCGGAAGAAATCTACCACCTGCCCCTCAACGTGTATGTCATCATCCTGGGCATTGGCCTCTTCATCTTCATGCTCAGCCTGATCTTCTGCTGCTACATGTTCAGGTGAGGCTTAGGGAAGAGTGGGGTAAATTGAGCCATTTTTTACATTCAGTATCACTCCGTCAAGGGAAATATAGTATTCTTTCTAACAAAGATATCTACATATATTTCAGGATGTTGGGTATCCCTGGAAATAATCAGAATTCATGTAAACATGACAGTTTTGAAAACATAGTTTGTCCAAAAAAGTGGTCTCTGGCCAAAACTTTACCAGGATATGGGGTAAGTTGAGTCACGGAACAGGGTAAGTTAAGCCGCCTACACATTTCTGTACTAAATTAAGTATTACCACTATCTTTCTAAAACCATGTCTATCTTTATTTCCCTAGCACAATTCAACACAATCACAATCGCTTTTTTGTCATTTAATCATTTAAATCATATTTTAACACAGGCTTAACACCTAACAAACACTTTTTAAAACACTTTTAACATAGGCCAGACCCTGTTGTTACCTCATATCTCAGCGACAATGCCTTGCATTACGCCTGGAAAGAAAGCACTTCAATTTGCTCAACTTGCCATTGGCTCAACCATTGGCTCAACTTACCCCAAGGCTAACATTTTGACTATATTAGCCCACACAGCTACAATAATGCACTTTCATGCGAGGTTTAGGACCTCATATGGAAGCTTATAGAGACCCCAACTCATGTATAGAACAATATTAAAAGTATCTACTTTGGTTTAGATACAAGTATCGTGAAACCTCTAACACAAGTACAATTGATATAGTGAAAATCTGTTTTTTGGACCTAACTTGCTTAGCACTTTTTCCATGAGGTTTCTTCCTTCACAGATTCATTAATATTTGATTGTATACAAATGTAATCAAGGTTTGAAATGATTATGTTTTATTCAAATATTATACTGAACAAAAATATAAACGCAACATGTAAAGTGTTGGTCCCATGTTTCATGAGCTGAAATAAAAGTTCCCAGAAATGTTCCATATGCACAAAAGGCTTATTTCTCTCAAATTTGTTTACACCCCAGTTAGTGAACATTTCTCCTTTGCCAAGATAATCCATCCACCTGACAGGTGTGGCATATCAAGAAGCTGATTAAACAGCATGATCATTACACAGATCATTACACAGGGATGTAGCTCAGTTGATAGAGCATGGCGTTTGCAATGATTCCCACAGGGGGTATGACATTTAAAAAAAAGTATAATGTATGCACTAACTGTAAGTCGCTCTGGATAAGAGCGTCTGCTAAATGACTAAAATGTCAAATGTAATGCTGGGGACAATAAAGGCCACTCTAAAATGTGCAGTTTTGTCACACAACACAATGCCACAAATGTCTAAAGTTTTGAAGGAGTGTGCAATTGGCATGCTGACTGCAGGAATGTCCACCAGAGCTGTTGCCAGATAATTGGATGTTCATTTCTCTACCAAAAGCTACCTCCAACGTCGTTTTAGAGAATTTGGCAGTATGTCCAACCGGCCTCACAACCACAGACCACACCAGCCCAGGACCGTTGGTGCTGGGGATTATTTCTGTCTGTGATAAAGGACTTTTGTGGGGGGAAAAAATATTTCTGATTGTCTGGGCATGGCTCCCCAGTGGGTGGGCATGGCTCCCCAGTGGGTGGTCCTATGCCCTCCCAGGCCCACCCACGGCTGTGCCCCTGCCCAGTCATGTGAAATCCAAAGATTAGGCCCTAATTTATTTATTTCAATTGACTGATTTCCTTATATAAACCGTAACTTGAAATTGTTGCATGTTGCATTAAACATTTTGTTCAGTATACATCTGTTTGGGGTTCTTGTGGTCAATTTGAAGTCTACAAATTATTTGTAATTATATTCCGGCCCCTGAACATCCGCTCAAGAAAGAAATCCTCCCTCGGCTGAATCTAGTTGTTGATCCCTGACCAAAGGGCCATGTCATTAATCAGGGTCAATGAGTTATGGGCTTGGTACTCTCATTAACCCATAGTCAGCTATAGCTTTCTTTATAGACCAGGGCCCGAAAGCATCTTAAGGCTAAGTTCATCGTTAGAACCTTCGTAGGAGCATCATTAAATCTCCGAGCTGTTTCCCAAAACCATCGTTATTAACGTTGCATTTGAAAACACTCGTAATCTAACGCCAGCCTCAGACTACTCGTAGGACAGATCTCCGCTAAACATAGAATCACATTGGTTATCTGTCTCTCTGTAACCACCCATAAAGTCAAAACAAAGTTGACAACAAATACACAGCCTGGTCTCATAGACTAGACGTAACATAGTAAATGTAAATCCAGGACACTGAAATTAGAATGTTACGTTTGGTATGGTTACATAAGACATAAGATTACTTAAAGCAAAAACGAAAGGAGGGTGATTGGTCGGAGTGGATGGTTGGGCGTATAACGTGAACGTCTACCAAAGGTTACATGTTCGAATCACATCACGGACAACTTTAGAATTTTAGCTAATTAGCAACGTTGCAACTACTTACTACGTTTTATCTACTTAGCATGTTAACTAACCCTTTCCTTAACCCTGACCTTAACCCCTAGCCTAGCTAATGTTAGCCAACCTAGCTAACATTAGTGTTAGCCAGCTAGCTAACGTTAGCCTCAACAAATAGGAATTTGTAACATATCATACGAATTGTAATACATAAAATATCATACGAATTGCAATTCGTAAAATATAATTTGAAATGGATGATGGACATCCACAAATTAAGACATATCATACAAAACGTAACATATCATACTAAATGGAGGGAGACAGATTTACTTTTACTAAGTTATGTCTACCCCTGAGTCCAGGTTGAAATACAAAGTTGCCAATGTCTTTGCACTTGATACAAACAGACATATAAAAAGATGCTTCAAATGAAAACTGAGATGACTGCATTCAAGTTCAATACATTTTGTTTTATTTAGCTACTTGTAGGCTACTGTCTGTAATATTTCATGATGTGTAGCCTAACATGTGCACAATGATGTGCCAAATTGGTGATTTAGTGCATTTTTATTGGGTAAGCATTAGAATAAGCCGCCTCAATATTTCAAATAAAATCAAATACAATTTTATTTGTCACATGCGCCGAATACAACAGGTGTAGACCTTACAGTGAAATGCTTACTTACAAGCCCTTAACCAACAATGCAGTTTTAGCATTACTGGGTGATCTGAAAAGTCATAGTCAATAAAAACATGTCAATGTGTCAATGTGCGATAGCACCGGTTAGTCAAGGTATTTCAGGGAATATATACAGTGAGGGAAAAAAGTATTTGATCCCCTGCTGATTTTGTATGTTTGCCCACTGTCAAAGACATGATCAGTCTATAATTTTAATGGTAGGTTTATTTGAACAGTGAGAGACAGAATAACAAAAAAATCCAGAAAAACGCATGTCATAAATGTTATAAACCAATCACCCTCCTCTCTAGGAACTGATCCGTCATCAATATTGTGAAATAATTTTTATTTGAAGGTAAGATTTGATTTGAGAAAGCTGATCCGAGAGCAGCACTGCCTTTCACATGCTCCAACGACACACTTAGCGACTGTTCTCTCTGTGTGGTGTTTTGGGAAATGCATGTTACATCTTCGGCCATTGTAGGAAAGATGCATCTTTAAAATACCAATTTGTAAGTCGCTCTGAATAAGAGCGTCTGCTAAATGACGTAAATGTACATGTAAATGTAAAATACTTGTAAGCCATCGCTATCGGGAAACTGGGCCCACAACATTGAGTTATGTTTTTTGTCAAAGTTAGCTCAGCTGGCTGACCTATTGATCCTGCTTTGGAAAATACAACCCTGAGGCAATCAGTTGTACAATATGTTTAAAAGCTGCAATTTGTAACTTTATGCGCTCTTTCATTGAAAGGAAGTCTAAGAAGTGGTAGATCTGTTCTATGTGCGTTATTTCTATGCTTCCCTTTCTTACGTTTTGTACACCAGCTTCAACAGTTGAAAATACAATATTTTTGGTTAAGGAAAATATATTTCACAGCAGTTTACAATGATTCTCTACACTATACTTGCTTGTTTTGTCACATAAACTGAAATTAGGCAAACTATTAGAATTTTAGCAACCAGGAAAATGGCGGAGCGATTTCTGCATAGTGCATCTTTAAACATCAATGTGATCAATGCTAGGTGTTGAACAACCTCATGACATCATCAGCTGCGAGCCTTTTGCTAAGACTGTGTTTACACCTGGAGCAAAATGTGTTTTCTGGCCAAATCTGAGGCGACTTCTTTTAGACTTTCTTGTTGTCGAGATGTGGAACCAAAATTACATACTCAGATCTGCTCCTGATGAGATGCTTTGCAGCTGTAGCACAGCCAAGTGTAGACACATTGTCACTTGCATTTGGCATACTATTCATGGGTTGCATGTTTCGTTACAATATTGTTTTGAACGCTCGTTTTGGACTGATGCCCGACTGAGCATTCTACTCAATGCATCATCAATGAGCACTGATGAAGATTTCATCAAAAGTACATTACAGTGTCATGGAAATACAATGCATTCAAAAGGAGGCAAATTATTTTATTATGATATTGATGTCGCCAGATTGACTTTAGATGCAGTATAACGTTAGCTAACCAGCTAAGATTGAGGCCACCAGATTTTTTATGATCTTTGCTAGCTAATGACAACATTGCCATCTGTCTAAAGTAAATTTGACGGCATGATAATGCTGGCAACGTTGTTTCCTACTAAATATTTGAATACTTTAGCAATGTCATCATATTTCCAGGCACTATAGTGTAATTTAGATGAAACAAACAAATATATATATATATATATATATATAAATACAATATAATAAACAAATAAATCCAAAAACCATCCCACTCCTTCAGTCACATTCAAATCACATCCCTACACAGGCTCAGGTGCCTGTGAGGACGGGGCACTCATCGACAGGATTCCTTGTAATGCCTCTGCAGAAAAGTCCCTGAGTCCCAAAAAACGGTCAACAATTATGCCTATTTTCTCAGATTTCCTCTCCTTTTGCGCTGTGCAGTTGATAACCAAAGTAATATGGGCCCTTGTAGCTCAGTTGGTAGAGCATGGCACTTGCAATGCCAGGGTTGTGGGTTCGTTTCCCACGGGGGGCCAGTATGAAAAGATTTATGCACTCACTATCTGTAAGTCGCTCTGGATAAGAGCGTCTGCTAAATGACTAAAATGTCAAATGTAAATGTAATAAATGCTACAAAGTCCACCTTCCTAACATGCAACATGTCAGGATCCCTCTGATGACTAATAATAAGAACATAATCTTGTGTCTCTACTCCTACTTCCACAACTTCACTCCTTTCTTCCACTCTTCTCAATGCATCCGAATAGGAGACATTCTAGACAGCCCTTATTCTTGCCACCTCCATCTCTTTCACCTAACAGGACACTTCAGAAATTCGGGTGAATGTTCAGCACCACAATTGCAGCATTTAGGCTCAGCTGACATATAATACTCTTCCCGTCTACATACACTTGACACATGACCAAATAATTTACATTTATCACACTGCATGGGTTTGGGCACAAAGGCTCTCACAGGGAATCTCATATAACCTAAATACACGTGAGAAGGGAGAGACTCTTCATCAAAAAACAATATAATGGATGGAGTGGGCTTCCACACTTCATCTACCATGCGGGTCAGTCGTTGTGCACCAACCACTTGATCCAATTCTTCACGTACACTACCGTTCAAAAGTTTGGGGTCACTTAGAAATGTCCTTGTTTTCGAAAGAAAAGCAAATTTTTTGTCCATTAAAATAACATCAAATTGATCAGAAATACAGTGTATACATTGTTAATGTTGTAAATGGCTATTGTAGCTGGAAACGGCTGATTTTTAATGGAATATCTACATAGGCATACAGAGACCCATTATCAGCAACCATCAGTCCTGTGTTCCAATGGCACGTTGTGTTTGCTAATCCAAGTTTATCATTTTAAAAGGCTAATTGATCATTAGAAAACACTTTTGCAATTATCTTAGCACAGCTGAAAACTGTTGTGCTGATTAAAGAAGCAATAAAACTGGCCCTCTTGAGACCAGTTGAGTATCTGGAGCATCAGCAATTATGGGTTCAATTACAGGATCAAAATGACCAGAAACAAATAACTTTCTTCTGAAACTCGTCAGTCTATTCTTGTTCGGAGAAATGAAGGCTATTCCATGCGAGAAATTGCCAAAAAACTGAAGATCTCATACAATACTGTGTACTACTCCCTTCACAGAACAGCACAAACTGGCTCTAACCAGAATAGAAAGAGGAGTGGGAGGCCCCGGTGCACAACTGAGCAAGACAAATACATTGGAATTTCTAGTTTGAGAAACAGACGCCTCACAGGTCCTCAACTGGCAGCTTCATTAAATAGTACCCGCAAAACACCAGTCTCAACGTCAACAGTGAAGAGGCGACTCCGGGATGCTGACCTTCTAGGCAGAGTTGCAAAGAAAAGCCATATCTCAGACTGGCCAATAAAAAGAAAAGATTAAGGTGGGCAAAAGAACACAGACACTGGACAGAGGAAGATTGGAAAAAAGTGTTATGGACAGACGAATCGAAGTTTGAGGTGTTCGGATCACAAAGAAGAACATTTGTGAGACGCAGACCAACTGGAAAGATGCTGGAGGAGTGCTGTGCAAGAACTATTTAGGGAAGAAGCAGTCAGCTGGTATTCTGTCTATAATGGAGTGGCCAGCACAGTCACTGGATCTCAACCCTATTGAGATGTTGTGGGAGCAGCTATGGTACGTAAAAAGTGCCAATCAAGCCAATCCAACTTGTGGGAGGTGCTTCAGGAAGCATGGGGTGAAATCTCTTCAGATTACCTCAACAAATTGAATGGCAAAGTTCTGCAAGGCTGTAATTGCTGCAAATGGAGAATTATTTGACGAAAGCAAAGTTTGAAGGACACAATTATTATTTCTACTAAAAATCATTATTTCTAACCTTGTCAATGAGTACATTTCCTATGCATTTTGCTACAGTTGAAGTCGGAAGTTTACATACACCTTAGCAAAATACATTTAAACTCAGTGTTTCACAATTCCTGACATTAAATCCTAGTAAAAATTCCCTGTCTTAGGTCAGTTAGGAATCACCACTTTATTTTAAGAATGTGAAATGTCAGAATAATAGTAGAGAGAATGATTTAGTTCAGCTTTTATTTCTTTCATCACATTCTCAGTGGGTCAGAAGTTTACATACACTCAATTAGTATTTGGTAGCATTGCCTTTAAATTGTTTAACTTGGGTCAAACGTTTCAGGTAGCCTTCCACAAGCTTCCCACAATAAGTTGGGTGAATTTTGGCCCATTCCTTCAGACAGAGCTGGTGTAACTGAGTCAGGTTGGTAGGCCTCCTTGCTCGCACATGCTTTTTCAGTTCTGCACACACATGTTCTATAGGATTGAGGTCAGGGCTTTGTGATGGCCACTCCAATACCTTGACTTTGTTGTCCTTAAGCCATTTTGCCACAACTTTGGAAGTATGCTTGGGGTCATTGTCCATTTGGAAGACCCATTTGCGATCAAGCTTTAACTTCCTGACTGATGTCTTGAGATGTTGCTTCAATATATCCACATAATTTTCCTTCCTCATGATGCCATCTATTTTGTGATGTGCACCAGTCCCTCCTGCAGCAAAGCACCCCCACAGCATGATGCTGCCACCCCCATGCTTCACGGTTGGGATGCTGTTCTTCGGCTTGCAAGCCTGCCCCTTTTTCCTCCAAACATAACAATGGTCATTATGGCCAAACAGTTCTAATTTTGTTTCATCAGACCAGAGGACATTTCTCCAAAAAGTACGATCTTTGTCCCCATGTGCAGTTGCAAACCGTAGTCTGGCTTTTTAATGGCGGTTTTGGAGCAGTGGCTTCTTCCTTGCTGAGCGGCCTTTCAGGTTATGTCGATATAGGACTCGTTTTACTGTGGATATAAATACATTTTTGTACCTGTTTCCTCCAGCATCTTCACAAGGTACTTTGCTGTTGTTCTGGGATTGATTTGCACTTTTCGCACCAAAGTACGTTCATCTCTAGGAGACAGAACGCGTCTCCTTCCTGAGCGGTATGACGGCTGCATGGTCCCATGGTGTTTATACTTGCGTACTATTGTTTGTACAGATGAACGTGGTTTTATAATTGCTCCCAAGGATGAACCAGACTTGTGGAGGTCTACCATTTTTTTACTGAGATCTTGGATAATTTATTTTGATTTTCCCATGATGTCAAGCAAAGAGGCACTGAGTTTGAAGGTAGGCCTTGAAATACATCCACAGGTACACCTTCAATTGACTCAAATGATGTCAATTAGCCTATCAGAAGCTTCTAAAGCCGTGACATCATTTTCTGGAATTTTCCAAGCTGTTTAAAGTCAACTTAGTGTATGTAAACTCCTGACCCACTGGAATTGTGATTCAGTGAATTATAAGTCAAATAATCTGTCTGTAAACAATTGTTGGAAACATTACTTGTGTCATGCACAAAGTAGATGTCCTAACCGACTTGCCAAAACAATAGTTTGTTAACAAGAAATTTGTGGAGTGGTTGAAAAACGAGTTTTAATGACTCCGACCTAAGTTTATATAAACTTCCGACTTCAACTGTATATTTCCTATTCAAATTCATTTAATGTATGTTTTCATGGAAATCAAGGAAATTTCGAAGTGACCCCAAACTTTTGAACGGTAGTGTATATCCTTTGCATTTACTTCTAGTGCCACCCCAGAGATAACACCCTTGATAGGTGCCCTGCTTCGAAGATCCAGAAACACGACACATTGCAATCCGACATCTTCTTGAGGTTCCTTCAGTTCCATAGAAAACACACAAAAAAACACACAAAAAACACTTCTCGTTATTCTCATCGACGGCACCTCATCCAACGCATCCCCAATTTTAACAGAGACTTCAAACGGATCTCCCAGGTAACAACATTGATCCAAAACCCTTATTCCAACCAAAAAAGACTCAGACCTAGGTTTGGATTTACTAATTTCCACTACCACTTTACTTCTCGTTTCCTTTTGCATTCGCCACTGTAATCCAATTATTCTCACTCTCATCTCCACTCGACAAGCCATCTGATTCAAACAGAACATCCGCTTCCATGACTGTGCTTATCACCACTTTAGGGTACCATTATGGCGCCGCCGGTAGAGGGCGGCTTGAGAACATTCATAACAATGGCATGACGCGACCAAAGTGACGGAGGTGCAACCTAATGAATAGCGGTCTCCATGACGACACATCAAGCATGTTGGGACATATGATCAAAAGTAATGGGAAAAGCTTTCATAACAGATCAATGTAATATGGAATTATGAAATGTAAATTATAAACAGATCGTGTGGATATCAGTCAATATGCCTTTTTATATAATTATGTTTCAGGTTAAGGCGACAAGGCACAAGGGAGCAATATGGATATAATGAGGTAATTTCATCTTGCATTAATAAAACATTTGTAGTGTAAGACATACAGACAGTAGAAAGATCTCTCAAACATGGTACATTTCTCAATTGATGAGAATGACTTTGATCTGTTTCTTCTTGATATCTTTGGATTGCCAGTTGTTGTTTCGAAAATCGATCTCTGTTATATTAATTAAAAAAGGTGTTATTTTGTTGCGCTTTTATTGTAGAAAATAATTCCCTCTGTCATAAATTAATCTTTGTCTCTAGGTGGTTTTGAAAGGAGCAGGAAATAAACTGAGTCTTCTTGGAGTAAGTTCATTTTGTTGTTCCATGACTTTGCAAACTGTTTTTGCAGGGGAGTAGAATTTAGGCCTCAGCATCAGAGGGTTAGGGTGGGGATTGAGAGTTTGTTTTTTGAAGGATAGTGTTAACGTGATTTCTTTCCCATCCTACAGCAGACCTGTGCCGTGTGCTTAGAAGAGTTCAAAAGCAGAGATGAGCTTGGAGTGTGTCCCTGCTCACATGCCTTTCACAAGAAGTAAGGCCCCTCCCACAGTCCTGGCTTTGATGGCGTGAAGTGAAAAGCTGAAGGCATACCCAGGGAAGAAGAGATCAAAAGCAATGAAACAAACATTTTAATTTAAAAAACAGAGACAAAAATATTGACAAAGCCCTCCAGGTCTAGTGTGAAAGTGACAGGCATTTACTGTCTGTGTGACTTTCAGTCATTTGACTAAATGCACCTGTTTACCCCTAAGGCAAGACCCCTATGACATTGTTTGCAGACTGTTAGCTTGAGATAATAGACTACCATCTCGCTCCCTGGGCAAGGGTAGAATAGTATAACGACCTCTCCCACAGGATACAGTACCAGTCAAAAGTTTGGACACACCTACTCATTTAGGGGTTTTACTTTATTTTGACTATTTTCTACATTGTAGAATAATAGTGAAGACATCAAAACTATGAAATAAAACATATGGAATCATGTAGTAACCAAAAAAGTGTTAAACAAATCCAAATATATTTTATATTTGAGATTCATCAAATAGCCACCCTTTGCCTTGATGACAGCTTTGCACACTCTTGACATTCTCTCAACCAGCTTCACCTTGAATGTTTTCCAACAGTCTTGAAGGAGTTCCCACATATGCTGAGCACTTGTTGGCTGCTTTTCCTTCACTCTGCCGTCTGACTCATCCCAAACCATCTCAATTGGGTTGAGGTCGGGGGATTGTGGAGGCCAGGTCATCTGATGCAGCACTCCATCACTCTCCTTCTTGGTAAAATAGCCCTTACACAGCCTGGAGGTGTGTTTGGTCATTGTTCTGTTGAAAAAAAATATATAGTCCCACTAAGCCCAAACCAGATGGGATGGCGTATCGCTGCAGAATGCTGTGGTAGCCTTGCTGGTTAAGTGTGCCTTGAATTCTAAATAAATCACAGACAGTGTCACCAGCAAAGCACCCTTACACAATAGGACACATTTCTACCGGTCTAATGTCCATTGCTTGTGTTTCTTGGCCCAAGCAAGTCTCTTCTTCTTACTGGTGTCCTTTAGTAGTGGTTTCTTTGCAGCAATTCAACCATGAAGGCCTGATTCACACAGTCCCCTCTGAACAGTTGATGTCGAGATGTGTCTGTGACTTGAACTCTCTGAAGCATTTGTTTGAGCTGCAATTTCTGAGGCTGGTAACTCTAATGAACTTATCCTCTGCAGCAGAGGTAACTCTGGGTCTTTCATTCCTGTGGCGATCCTCATGAGAGACAGTTTCATCATAGCGCTTTATGGTTTTTGCGACTGCACTTGATGAAACTTTCAAAGTTCTTGACATTTTCCGGATTGACTGACCTTAATGTCTTAAAGTAATGATGGACTGTCGTTCCTCTTTGCTTATTTGAGCTGTTCTTGCCATAATAAGGACTTGGTCTTTTACCAAATAGGGCTATCTTCTGTATACCCCCACTACCTTGTCACAACACAACTGATTGGCTCAAACGCATTAAGAAGGAAAGAAATTCCACAAATTAACTTTTAACAAGGCACACCTGTTAATTGAAATGCATTCCAGGTGACTACCTCATGAAGCTGTTTGAGAGAATGCCAAGAGTGTGCAAAGCTGTAATCAAGGCAAAGGGTGGCTATTTGAAGAATCTCAAATATAAAATATATTTTGATTCGTTTAACATTTTTATTTGGTTACTACATGATTCCATATGTGTTATTTCATAGTTTTGATGTCTTCACTATTATTCTACAATGCAAAAAATAGTAGAAATAAAGAAAAACCCTTGAATGAGTAGGTGTGTCCAAACTTTTGACTGGTAGTGTATGTTTTGCATGTTAGTAGCCAACGGGCTTACAGTGCATTCGGAAAGTATTCAGACCCCTTGGACTTTTTCTACATTTTGTTACGTTACAGCCTTGTTCTAAAATGGATCAAATAAAATACAATTCCCATCAATGTACACACAATACCCCATAATGACAAAGTGAAAATAGTTTTTTTTTTTTTATTTTGCAAATGTATATAATAAAACTGAAATACCTTATTTACATAAGTATTCAGACCCTTTGCTATGAGACTCGAAATTGAGCTCAGGTGCTTCCTGTTTCCATTTATCATCCTTGAGATGTTTCTACAACTTGAATGGAGTCCACCTGTGGTAAATTCAATTGATTGGACATGATTTGGAAAGGCACACACCTGTCTATATAAGGTTGCACAGTTGATAGTGCATGTCAGAGCAAAAACCAAGCCATGAGGTTGAAGGAATTGTCTGTAGAGCTCTGAGACAGGATTGTGTCGAGGCACAGATCTGGGGAAGGGTACCAAAACATTTATGCAGCATTGAAGGTCCCCAAGAACACAGTGGCCTCCATCATTCTTAATTTGAAGAAGTTTGGAACCACCAAGACTCTTCCTAGACCTGGCCGCCCGGCCAAACTGTGCAATCGGGGGAGCAGGGCCTTGGTCAGGGAGGTGACCAAGAACCCGATGGTCACTCTGACAGAGCTCCAGAGTTCCTCTGTGGAGATGGGAGAACCTTCCAGAAGGACAACCATCTCTGCAGCACTCCACCAATCAGGCCTTTATGGTAGAGTGGCCAGACGGAAGCCACTCCTCAGTAAAAGGCACATGACAGCCTGCTTGGAGTTTGCCAAAAGGCACCTAAAGGACTCTCAGACCATGAGAAACAAGATTCTCTGGTCTAATGAAACCAAGATTGAACTCGTTGGCTTGAATGCCAAGCGTCACGTCTGGAGGAAATCTGGCACCATCCCTACGGTGAAGCATGGTGGTGGCAGCATCATGCTGTGGGGTTGTTTTTCAGCGGCAGGGACTAGGAGACTAGTCAGGATCGAGGGAAAGGATCTGCAGAGAAGAATGGGAGAAACTCCCCAAATACAGGTGTGCCAAGCTTGTAGCGTCATACACAAGAAGACTGGAGGCTGTAATCACTGCCAAAGGTGCTTCAACAAAGTACTGAGTAAAGGGTCTGAATACTTATGTAAATGTGATCTATTTTTTATACATTTGCCAAAAAAAATCTAAACCTGTTTTTGCTTTGTCGTTATGGGGTATTGTGTGTAGATTGATGAAGAAAAAAAACTATTTCATCCATTTTAGAATAAGGCTGTAACGTAACAAAATGTTAGGAAAGTCAAGGGGTCTGAATACTTACCGCTCTCTCTGTATGTCTTTCTATCTCTCGCTCGCTCGCTCTGTCTGTCTGTCGCTATCTTTCACACTTTCTCCCTCTCTCCCTCTCTGTCTCTTTTTCTCCCCCCCCTCATTATCTCTCCTTTTCTTCTCAATTTCTTTCTGTAATATAATATGTTCCCCTCTCTACCCCTACGCAGGTGTCTGTTAAAATGGCTGGAGATCCGCAGTGTCTGCCCCATGTGCAACAAACCCATCTGCCGTTTGCAGCCAGACCCCCCACAGGGCGCAGAGGGGCCCCCAAGCCCAATGGAGGTGTGAGATGAGAGAGGGACCCACCACAGCACCTCAACACCCCTAACTACAGTTCCAACCTGCCTCATCCCACTCCACCCGACCCCTACAAATCACACCCTGGTCCAGTTGAAGTGAATCAGGCATTCCATCCTGACCTCTCCAATATACCCCCATCCTAGAGTTCTGACAGACCATTTGAATCCACTCTACTCTGGTTTTGAAGGTGTTAGACCCCTGCAGGTGTGTGTGAGATGAGACTTTAAAGTGGAACTTATAGAACAATATCTGAAAGGCAGGGGATGGATGAAGAGACCCTGTCCCATGACCACCAGCCAACCCATACAGGAGAGGTACTGAAAAAAAGTTGGGATGCTGTGCATTGGGCTCTACTTTCCCAAATCATAGTCAATAACCCTCCATCCAATTGTTGCCAAGTGAAGATAGGGTGTCCTGATTGGTTGATGAGTAACATGGGGCCTGGATGGAGGTGACATCTACATACCACGCCCACAGCTGCCATCATGGGCCTATGAGGTATCCAGCTATGACATAGGGTGCAGTGACCCTGTCACTAGATAACACATCAGGGTCGTTCTTGATTTGCATTGCCATTTAAGCATGGCATTTTGGAAGAAATTAACTTCATTTTTGTTGAATTGTTTTTATTTAAATGTACTGTATTTGGGTACATCCCATTCTAAATGAACTAATATGGCAGCTTAATCACTTTAAATATCAAGGACGGTAATGACACATTTTAGGTAATTGAGGATTTTCTTAAATGGAGGCCACAGATGCTTAACCCTTGAAAAATAATTTACTAAAGGGAAATTATTAATATTTTACTCACAATGTAATTTCCCTTCTTTTAAACTGAGTAATACCAATGACAATTTTTATTTAGACACCAAGTTATCAATGGAATCCAAAAAAATTATGACATGCTAAAAGGGTGTGATTAGCTAAGAACTTTCTTTAATATAGACCCCTCCCCCAATAACAGTTTGCAACTGGAGGGAATGCTCAAGGTCCTTGTATATATTTTGTGTAATGAGTCATCTCAGAAACCCCAAACTAAAATCTGGTGTAATTGCGTCAGATGCCTGATTACGTTCTGGGGCAGATGTATGAAAAAAGATAGGCCTACTAATGAGACTAGCGAAGTCACTTTAAACAATGAATTAAGTATACAGTTTTGCAGTACAAATTGATTTAGCTATATTTTATCATTTATAAACGGTTCAATATAAACAAAAACATGTATATGATGTGTAACTATTTGTCTAAAGGGTTTTTCATTGTTGCAAAGCTGAGGGACGCAAATGCCACTGCAATTCAAGAATGACCCATCAATGAAATATATAATCTTTAAATTATTTCTAAGGAATTGTTTTGTATTATAACTGGCTTTCAATAAAGTATATTGTTTCAGTGATATTGAGAACTCTGATGTTATATTCAGCTGGGGCCTAGTTTATAACCATTTCAAGTATCTGCATGCGCCATTTCTGAAAAGAATAAGTAGGCCTACATCTACAAAAATATTGAGATTTATAAACTTGGCGCACCCCATATAGAAGTATGTTTCCCTTTATAAATCTGACAGTTTTATGGAGACGACAACAACAGAGTAAGTTTAAGTAAAAAGTGTATGAATGTGAATAAACTTTGATATGTTAGAACGAACATGAACAACTACAAGCTTTCTCCTGGCTAGTAGCTAGTTAGCTTTACATTTACAGTTGTCATTTTAAGCTGTGTCAGGTTTTATCTAACTAGCTAAAGCTGGGTAGTTCTGGCTGTGTGAAAAACATATGTTTTGAAGCCAAGAATACTTGCTATCTACAGAATTACTTGCATAATCACTGTCATAGTCTTCATCATAGGGTCAGCAAGTTAGCAATGGGTGTGCCACCAGTCAAGAAGATTTAAAAAAAAGAGTAAATAAGAGTTTTTTTTCAAAGGAGTGAAAAAGGACTGTAAGTAAGGTTCTAGGCAACTGCCCGCACACCACCCCATGGCAAACTAGCTGGCAATTTTGAAAAAATCACAGTGATTATGGGTCATGAAGGTGTGTTCCATGTGTTAAAACTTTGTTTGGTGCTATCATGATCATGGTATTAGAGTGACAGCCATGAACAGACAGACAGGCAGAGAGGGAGAGAGAGAGGCCAGAAACCAACAGGTAAGATAGTGAGAAGTGCCTCTCCAAGCCCATTGAGTTCATAGACATGATCTGTCGTAATGTGAATCAATCTGAATTATCATATGATCACTGATGAAATGACAGCAGCTGTCACGATCGTTGAACGGAGTAGACCAAGGCGCAGCGTGATGAGCGAACATACTTTATTTTCCAAAGTGATAACACGAACAAAACAATAAACGATAACGTGACGTCCTAGTTTAAACACAACCAACACGGAACAAACCAAAAGGAACAAGATCCCACAACACCTGTGGGAAAACAGCCTGTCTAAATATGGCTCCCAATCAGAGACAACCAGTAACAGCTGACACTCGTTGCCTCTGATTGGGAACCACTCTGGCCAACATAGAAATACAAATACTAGACTGTGAACATAGAACAAACCACATAGAATCTACACACCCTGGCTCAACACATAGAGTCCCCAGAGCCAGGGTGTGACAGTACCCCCCCCCCCCAAAGGCGCGGACTGCGACCATGCCTTAACATAAACCAAACAGGGGAGGGCTGGGTGGGCATTCCTCCTCGGAGGCAGTTCCGGCTCCGGGCTTGCCCACCACCCTCCAATAATCCCCCCGTAGCGCCCCTGGTCCGGTCTGGCCCCGCTGGCTGGAGCTGGACTGGACATCGTAGGAGCGGATTGCTTAAGCTCCGGTGTGGAGCAGCTGACCGGTACCTGACCAGGCACCGGTAACCCAGGCACGGGTTGTGCCGGACTGACGACGCGCACCCCTGGCTTGGTGCGTGGAGCAGGAACGGGCCGGACCGGGCTGACAATGCGCACCCCTGGCTTGGTGCGTGGAGCAGGAACGGGCCGGACCGGGCTGATGATGCGCACCCCTGGCTTGGTGCGTGGAGCAGCAACGGGCCGGACCGGGCTGACGATGCGCACCCCTGGCTTGGTGCGTGGAGCAGGAACGGGCCGTACCTGGCTGACGACTCGCACCCCTGGCTTGGTGCGAGTGGCAGGAACAGGCCGGGCCGGGCTGGCGACGCGCACCGTAGGCTTGGTGCGAGTGGCAGGAACAGGCCGGGCCGGGCTGGCGACGCGCACCGTAGGCTTGGTGCGAGTGGCAGGAACAGGCCGGGCCGGGCTGGCGACGCGCACCGTAGGCTTGGTGCGAGTGGCAGGAACAGACCGGGCCGGGCTGGTGACGCGCACCGTATGCTTGGTGCGAGTGGCAGGAACAGGCCGGGCCGGGCTGGCGACGCGCACCGTAGGCTTGGTGCGGGGAGCAGGAACAGGCCGGGCCGGGCTGGCGACGCGCACCATCAACTTAGTGCGGGGAGCAGGAACGGGCCGGACCGGACTGGTGACGCACACCACTTGCTTGGTGCGTGGAGCAGCAACGGGCCGGACCGGGCTGACGATGCGCACCCCTGGCTTGGTGCGTGGAGCAGCAACGGGCCGGACCGGGCTGACGATGCGCACCCCTGGCTTGGTGCGTGGAGCAGGAACGGGCCGTACCTGGCTGACGACTCGCACCCCTGGCTTGGTGCGAGTGGCAGGAACAGGCCGGGCCGGGCTGGCGACGCGCACCGTAGGCTTGGTGCGAGTGGCAGGAACAGGCCGGGCCGGGCTGGCGACGCGCACCGTAGGCTTGGTGCGAGTGGCAGGAACAGGCCGGGCCGGGCTGGTGACGCGCACCGTAGGCTTGGTGCGAGTTGCAGGAACAGGCCGGGCCGGGCTGGCGACGCGCACCGTAGGCTTGGTGCGGGGAGCAGGAACAGGCCGGGCCGGGCTGGCGACGCGCACCATCAACTTAGTGCGGGGAGCAGGAACGGGCCGGACCGGACTGGTGACGCACACCACTTGCTTGGTGTGAGGAGCGGGACTGGGTTTCTTCATAACCCTCCGCTCCCTCAGCTGCCTACACAGTTCCTCTCGCCGTGCCTCTACTCTCACCCTCTCCCTTATCGCCTCCAGTAGCTCCACCCTCTGAACCACTAACTCCTGCTCCCTCTGGACCAATAGCCCCCTTAACCTGGTGGCCTCCTCACCTAACCTCCCAATACGCCCTGTAGCTGCCTCCTGCTGCCCCGTCGCCCATGCCGTGTGCCCCCCCCTAAAAAATGTTTGGGGTTGCCTCTCGTCCCTCCGACGACGACACTGTTGACGCCGTTGCTCCTCTCTCCGTCGCGCCTCCACCGTCTCCTTCCATGGACGGCGATCCATCCCGGCCTGGATTTCCTCCCAGGTCCAGGACCCCTGCCCGTCCAATATCTGTTCCCACGTCCAGGCTGCCTGCTCCTGGACACGCTGCTTGGTCCTGGTATGGTGGGATCTTCTGTCACGATCGTTGAACGGAGTAGACCAAGGCGCAGCGTGATGAGCGAACATACTTTATTTTCCAAAGTGATAACACGAACAAAACAATAAACGATAACGTGACGTCCTAGTTTAAACAAAACCAACACGGAACAAACCAAAAGGAACAAGATCCCACAACACCTGTGGGAAAACAGCCTGTCTAAATATGGCTCCCAATCAGAGACAACCAGTAACAGCTGACACTCGTTGCCTCTGATTGGGAACCACTCTGGCCAACATAGAAATACAAATACTAGACTGTGAACATAGAACAAACCACATAGAATCTACACACCCTGGCTCAACACATAGAGTCCCCAGAGCCAGGGTGTGACAGTACCCCCCCCCAAAGGCGCAAAATGCGACCATGCCTTAACATAAACCAAACAGGGGAGGGCTGGGTGGGCATTCCTCCTCGGAGGCAGTTCCGGCTCCGGGCTTGCCCACCACCCTCCAATAATCCCCCCGTAGCGCCCCTGGTCCGGTCTTGCCCCGCTGGCT